CATTTTCCTACAACTCTATACGATTATTTACTTTGCGAACTTAACGTTACGATCTTTTGTCGTACGATCTTTTACAACATACGATCTTTATCTTACAATCATTTTCCTACGATCTTTTTCATACGATCCATTGCTTTACGAACTTTTGCTTACGATCTTTGGTCGTACGATCTTTTGCAACATACGATATTTATTTAACGATCATTTTCCTACGATCTTTTTCATACGATCCTTTGCTTTACGATCCTTTGCTTACGATATTTAGTCGTACGATCTTTTGCGACATACGATCTTCATCTTATTATCATTTTCCTACGATCTTTTTCATACGATCAATTGCTTTACGATCTTTTGTCGTACGATCTTTTTCAACATACGATCTTTATCTTACGATCATTTTCCTACGATCTTTTTCCATACGATCTTTTGTCTTACGATCTTTTGTCACGTAATCTGAACCGGCAATACACTCGCCCTAGCGGAGATGTTATAAACTACCGGTATCGGAGAAGCGAGGCGATGGAATAGATGTCGCGCTAGTCGGCTCTTCCCTGGCCGGAGATCATATGCGATGATCTCGGTAGCCGGTGACCTTCCCTCGCCAGTCGCCTGCCGTGCCTCGTAGTCATTGGAGGCCGACGTGGGGATAGGGAGAGCGGGGTGTCAAGGCTTCCTCTTATGAACTGATTTAAAACATGACGACCATGGCAATGAAAGGGAAAAAAGAGCCAGCACCTCACATTATAATGTTTGCTATAATGTTTGCGATGGTTGCTTCCACACTCGCACACATACGAGTAGGTATATCCCTCACACGCACGGTTGACGTCCTAACTGGTGAGAGCTGATTTATAAAAATCAAAGGCAGCCGGCAGCCGGCACAGGGAACCATGTCAGGCTGAATGCTGAACAGGGGCAGAAGTGAATGGCCTATCGAAAACGGCTTGGATAGGTAACCGGGGAAAGTTCAGCTGCAGCTTGCAAGTTGCAGAAGCTTCAGTGTGTCTGCCGGTTGTATGTTTTTTTTTACCATGCATTATCTATTCCGACAGCTCCATTCCTAAGATGCTTAACTGAAGTCATTGATGTAAAATTGTGGCAACACATGTGCCACGAATACCAAATCAAGTCGTCGCACGGTCGAAATGTCAGAAGCCACATTCATGGCGGAGCATCCTTGGGACAGCCTTCGCTGCCGAGTGGCGTTCCTTGCATTGGGGAAGGTAATAAGTGACCGTGTCTCGCGAGCTCGGGGGAGTGCCCGACGGCGGAGGTTGATGGGCTGTTGCCTGACGGCCGTGCAGGTGACAGCCCAGTGCCTCTGTCGTGTCCTCTCTGAGGAGTCGGCTATTCCTCTCGGAGACAGTCTGATTTACGGCACGGGGAGTAGGGATGGGGAGGGGTCACCGGGCGGGCAGTAATACCCGGTTCTGCCTCTTTGGGTCGGTATTGGCTGGAGAAGTGGCACTCTAGCTGCTGAGTACGGTGAGATAGGGAAAGGTCGTAAATATCCATAGAAAGAAGGAATTCCTGAGATAGGTATGTAAGATTTCGTGAAGATGTAGGATGCAAACCGCGCAGATTGGAGGTAAGACTTTACCTACAGAGGGTGCCACATTAGCATGCACAATTTGCACATACCTACTCGTATGTACATCGCTCCTTGTGATTGGTATTAATTGTACGCTGGATGGTGAAAGCGCGAAGCCTTTTCCACTACCATTTTCACGTTCACAAGAAACTAGAGGGGTAAGGTGAAAATGGAACTGTGAAATAAATTGTACCTAATCTTGGGATTTGGCACGTAAGGACATACCTAACGGCTCCATAAAAGTCACGTATGTACTGCAGGCTCACCGGGACCATATGTTACGTGACGTCATTTGGGGCTTTGATTGACAGCTGAGAGCTTCCCAGTTTTGGGGAGTGTCTATCTATAGGTATACCATTGGAATGTTGCGGCTGCCATTCGATAAGCTGCTAAAGTGGTAAAGTGACGTCACTGAATACCTAAGAGTGTGGAAAATCTTGTGATGTGGTGAATTTATTCCTACTTTGTCTCACCTCTGCGCATTCGATAACACGTTTGGATAATTTTGCGTAAAAAAAGTGTGACCGAGCATTGCGAGCCATCTAGGTACCGTTAAGACCCGATGCGAATTAGATCATGCCGACTGAATAAAAGAAAGAGGTGAGAGTTGGCAATGAAGCAAGAGAAGGAAAGAAAAAACAACGTAAAAAGTTTGCAGCTAACAGACTGTTTAGTCTCAGGTGGTTGTGAACGTTTTTATTTGACGGCAATATCATTACAAGCGAGCGCGAAGCGCGAAGCGAGTCTTTTCAATATAGCGGGAAAATCTCAGTGTGATAGGCCTAGCCCGACCCGGCCCGGCCTGGGCCTTTGAAAGACCTATATCTCAGCAGCCGCTAGGCCGATTGGCCTGCAATCTTTTTTGTTGAGAAGCCCCATTCCTTCTACCCCGTAATTGACTTACCTATAGTCTTGATGCATCTAGGTGACCGTCTTGGCACGTGGAAACTGGAAAGTCAAGGGTGTTCAAGCTGTTTTGCAAAAGTAGCGGTTTTGAAAGGCTCATGTGTTAACTGGGGCGATTGATTTGCCGTAATTTTTGTAGGGTAGCTGCATCCCTTCCATGGGCGTAGGAACCTCACGAAAAGTGTATGTGTGTGTGTGGGGGGGGGGGGAGGGCAGCAAAACTTCAATGTCACTTTGTGAGAGCCCCAATACACCTATGAAGAAATTATTTGCAGTTTTGTGCTCACCTCACCTTGCTGAACCATTTCCTGTTCTTACTTTTGTATTTATATCGAAAATAAAGATTTTGCTTAAAAAACGGTTGAAAAGTGGGGGCCATGCCCCCCAGCCCCCTGTTCTTACGCCTATGGTCCCTTCTACCAAACATCGGATGCCTACTCTTGATGCATGTTGTCACCCCCCATTGCACGTGCAGAATGCAAAAAGAAGAGGTGTCAAGTTTGTTCCCATTACAATAACTCGGCGGCCATTACTGCAGTGATTTCGCTGAAACTTGGCGTTTAGTTAGGCATCCACCAGGCAATGTATTTTATATCTTACATAACTTATTTGGTAGCACCGCTCATGGGCGCTAGGCAGGGCGTCTGGTTTCGAAACGCAACTACTTACATGCATAGAGAGACCTAGCTTACACAGAGTATGTAAGCTATCGGGCTTTATTTCGGGCAGAGGCTGATAAAAATAACAAAATTGTAATATTAAATAATGAAAAAAATAAAGCATCGTCAAATGTGTGGGTGCACGATCTCCGATATAAATCTGATCCTCTAGCTAAGGCGCTGTATAGTCGAGGGACAAAGACGCTCCTTGGAAGAACGAAACTCACCGTGAATGCATGATACGGTCAGTAGTCAGCCCAAACGGTCGTCTTGGCACAGACCCGGGGGCATCAATCCGCGGATTTCCTGGATGGCGTATGAGCGCCACATACCTAACGACTCCGCCAAACTGCAGGCGGAGCTGGAGAGGAGATTACCGAGAGGCGATAAGGATCGGACTGTGCGACGCCCATGAACAAACAGAGGCAATATACAACCAGCAGCTTTTCAGACAGAACAGCCTTCCTGCATTCTGCATGCACTTTAGCATGCTGATAATGCAATGGTTACGGCGCTATAGTATGAAATCAAATAAAGGTATAGGCCTACCACACAAACGTGCGAATAAAATAAAACTCTTTTGATTAAATGGTGGATTTTTTAGCCCATCCGACTGAAAGAAAAAACTAATTGACCATTTAAGTCAATTAAATAAACCAACCATCTCAATCATAATTTATACCCGTCGCTGGTTAGAAATGTCATTTTTCTAATATGTTTGTTCAATGACTTATAGGTTCGCTTAAGCTCACCATTGCCACCAAATTAACCACAATCTGATATAATATTATAAGATATTTATTTAAGTTGTCTGATGATGCCCTGTGGGCGAAATTTATTTACTAGAATGCATCATTTTCGACGTATAAACATTTCTTCATTCGAGGAAAAGTCATTAACAAATATTCTACAATGTCCTAACAAGATGTTCCTCGCGGGAGCACTCGACAACAGTCTGATATACTTGTAGATGTACAAACGAGCTGAGCACATGTTACACAGGCGCAATGTCCATTATAACGCTGTCATTGGCCTTTTTGGCGCATCTTGGTAGCCTAGTCGTTGCCTAAGAGAAGCAAGTGAAATAGATAACATGGTAAAACAGGGAGCGCAACACAAAGTTGAAAGTACCTACTATAATGAGGTAATAAGGTACGTTATAATAGGGAACGTTTTGTAATAGTCCTGGTTGCAAGGTCATCATGGTGTTTTAACGATGCGTTATTTCACGGGAAAACACGATGCGAATTAATAGTTATTGCAATAACTTTGCTATAATTGCAATAGCTGTCAATTAGCATCGTGTTCTCCCGCGAAATTATGCATCGTTCAAACACAATGGTGGCCATGCAACCAGGTTTATGACAAATGCATAGTAACAGTCCAAATTATGCTGAACCAGCATCTTAGCATTGCCAAAGAACGTCTCCCTCCGAACTTCCGATCGGTCCCTTCCAAACTCCGATTCCAAACTCTGAGATCACTTCCAATCCGTTCAGACAGGATGTCACGACTTCTACAGTGATTGAGGGTGGTCCTTGATTTGTGAGACCTTGATATGTGGGCCCGTTGTCTAGGGATAATCCAATTAGAGAGAGATTTCCTGGCTTTACGTAAGCTAAATGTGAATCTGTTCTGGAAAGAGGTGACCTTAACATTCAGCGTCCGCCATCCGGCTGGCTCATAAGCTGGCTTCCCCCAACGAGACGGACGACTGACGGGTCTCTAGTATGATTTCATGAGGTAGACAGTTTTAATTTTTCACTTCGGTTGAAACATCTTGATCGGAATCAAACGTTTGATGACTTATGTTATAAAGATATGCCAATGATAACACGATATGCTTTACATATATGCATGTATTGAAGACAAACCCTACAAACGTCCAAGAACACTCAGCATAATTACCCCACGCAGGTAGTTGTGTCTGTACGCATGGTTCCCTTTCTTCGAGTGGATATAACGTCCTTTATATACATATGCATAGGCGTGTTTCTCTATAACATTCGTTATATTACCAGTATAACGCCTTTTGGGGCGACTAACGGAGCGAGCGAGAGGGTGAGCCTTGCACGTGCGAAATTTCGAGGGGGTACCTCCAGCTGACTTGTGCACGGCACCCTACTAACCGGTCTCTAGCGATGTGCCAAATTTGAGCACAATCGGCCCAGCCGTTCTGGAGATCTGGAAGCGGCACCCTGCACGTGCGCACGTGCAAAATGGGTCCCAACTGACTTTTGCACGGCACCCTACTAACCGGTCCCTAGCCATGTACCAAATTTGAGCGCCATCGGTCCAGCCGTTCTCGAGATCTGGAATCGACCCCTGCACGTGCGCACGTGCAGCAGCACCCCAACTCTGGCACATGGATATGCAGTGCCTAGTGGGTGCCTACCTTCATGCCAACTTTCAGTGCAATCGGTCAAGTAGTTACCGAGATATTGCAACAATTACAAAAGTGACACCTCTTCGTTTTGCACGTGGCACGTGCATAAGGGGTCACCCACATGCATCGGGAATAGTCCAATACTTGGTAGAAGGAATAAAGCTACCCTACAAAAATTACCGCGTGTAAATCGGTCAAGTGGTTGCTGAGATATAAGCCTCGCAAAAGCGTGACCACGGCCGGCCGGCCGGCCGGCCGGCCGGCCGCTCATACTCAGAAATTTCCGTTAATCTAAGGAAAGACTACGCTCGCTTCGCTCGCTCCGTAACTACGTGCCCGATGCATTACAACATACAACACTCAGAACGTGAGTAGACGTTTTGAACTACATGCAGTAAACAAAGCGATCATACCTAGCGAGTTTACAAAGCGAGCATTTCATCATTTGTCGCCGTTTATCGCCGTTTTTATAAGTCGTCGAACATATAATTACATTTGATCAGCATTCACCTTCACCAGCCTTCGCCAAACACGTTTTAAGTCTTACTGGTCAATCCCTATAGACGGCCTTGGATCAACCCTTATACGAAACGGCAACTGAGTTTATTACCAAGCCGCTCACAATTTAATGAAACACTGTACGCATTTGACAATTCACCACAAATCACATAAGCTCCGCAGTCCGCGCGCTGGTTGGTCTACTGCCTGGCGTAGACGAAATGATCGCGTATGATGGGCTTGATCAGCGGTAGCCGCTCCTTGGGGATCCTCTTCTTCTTGCCGTTGATGTACTCGTAGCAGACCAGCTGGGGGCAGCAGCCGGGGAACGGCTCCCGCCGATCGCCGATCGCTTGACGGCAGCTCAGGTGCTCCCGCTTCATCTTGTCAAAGTCGACGTTGTCCAGGATGCGGTCGCACCTGTCGAAGGGGAAACGCCGAGATAGAACGGAACTGCGTCATTGAAGCATGCTCGTGCGAAAATAGCAAAAGAATCCTATATTATTGGACGAATCAGCCGCATGGTGTGTGGATCCCTGATCTAATCAACCCAGAGATATCAACTATGTTTATTGATGACGTTTGATAAATCGGCGTTGATCCTGTATACCCAGCACAGTTTCAGTAATACTTACGACATTCGGTCGATGTAGAGCACCCCCTTCTCTTCCACACAGCGGCTCTGTTTGCAGTTGGCGTTCTTAGGACCCCAGACCTCGCCAACGTCATAATATTTGTCTACCCGAGGGTCGTGACATTGACCGTTGTGACCTGAAACAAAAACATGCAGTCGCTTTGTCAGAGATGCTGCGCTGCTGTATTGAAAATATGCCACAGTAGATCGGTGTCTATGTCCTTGACCTTAGCTGACCGGTGCAGTGGAGAGTGCCAATTCAAACCACTTCGGTTGTCGCTGTTTGCTTCTGATGGGAATGGCTTGTGGTCAGTGACAGTGGTCGCAGTGGTATTGGCTGGATGAATTTTGCGAGCTGGCCGGGTCGCTCCCGAGCATGATGTGCATCGGACAATTTAAGTGCCCAACTCCTCAAAATAGTAGTGCATTGCTGTGAACTGAAGGCCTGAAACCTCATACACACATCTTCCAAAGTACGCCGGCAATAATGCATCTTTCATACATATATTTTACCGAAATCCGTACGTACTTCGGGCTTTTATTTTTATCTTTTAGGTAGATGCTCAGCAAAATGATTGTCATTGGCACCAATGATTTAGCAGCTCGGTCATTTCAACAATATCGACTTTAAGCCGAGCGTACCGGCCGTAAATGCACGAACAATATGGCCGGTAAAGTGCATTATATTTCAGGTGTCATTTAAATGCATTAGGTATATTTCAACCGGCGAAACAGTTATGGAAATATTGATGAAATTATTTTTATTCATCAATGCTTGGCGCCACATGCGATTGAATTTTGTTTAGAGCCCGAAAATTACCTAATGTTATAAATTTTATAGAGTTACCACTGCTGCCAAGCTTTACATGTTTAACTTATTTTCAATAAGGTCGCTGGTATTCGTTATTTAACTTGGTTTGTGTTTATTAATCTAAATAAATCACTTCCATTCAGTTTTGGCAGGTGTTACAAAGGAGGTCACTTTATCCCGACGGCAAATTTACCTAGTCTTCCGGTGCCTCATAAACGTATCTATTCTAGACATTTATCCGCATCACAATTATTTTAAATTGGCCGATAGAATAAGACGTTTAAATCAAAGTTCAAGTTATTTAAGTGAATCATTATCCACAAATGTTTCCGCAAAATGTGTACCTATATAATTGTTTGATAGCCTCCGCAGCCTTCGATTACTTTGCTAAACGTGACATCGAGCTTGGGACTTCAGCATCAGCGCCTGATAAAGAAACGTTGAAAAATGGACAATGCTCGCAAGAGGGAATCACCAAACAGCAGACACTGAGACGGCCCGCTGGTCCGCGCCACCTTACCGGGTTTGACGGGGAACTTGAAGAATCTGTGCTCGTGCTGTCCCGACACCAGTTGCAGCACCAGGGCCGCACAGCCAATGATTGCCCACATGACGCCAACACGAAAAACGGCGCTGCTCTGCCGGCGCCGACAGCGGCAGCCGGTTTTATAGGCGTCTCTCAGTGGCGTCCCAGCCCGTCCGTCCCCCCGGCGAGCGGTGCGGGATGCAACGACGCAGGGCGGGCCGCGACCGGGCGAGAGGCCGCCCACTGAACGGAGCTGAATCTGTATTCGTCGCGTCCTGAGCATTGACTTGGGTCGTGCATTGGTGTTAGTGAATTCCAACTGTCTTCAGAACAGCCAGATCCTTGTCCGAACATTGCGCTTCATGCGGCCGGAGCTGGCGTGTGAAGACTACCGGACCTGTACGGATTATGCTAATAGTCGACTCACCAGCAATGACGCAAGGTCGGTGAAACGGTCCCCACACAAGAATGGTGACAAAAGCACATGGAGAAACCCGGGGCTCCTTTTACTTACGGGGTGGGCTATGTCACTTGAGCCTGATAAAGGGAGGAATTCAGTCTTGAGCAGTGTTGGCTTTGAGCTTGACGGTTGATCCCCATTCTCATTTTCCTTTCGCCAATAGTTCAGTCATTTTATCTCAATGACGCCGTTTCGAATTATCTCAGCATCTGGCTCTGATCTTTCGATTTCTTTAGATATCACTCTGCTGGCAGAATTTTAATGTCCACTCGTAAGACAACTCAATTATCTCTCTATAGATAAAAAGTGGTCAGCTCGGTCCCGTATTCTTCAATTATGTGAACGATGTCAACTTAGCAAAAGCTAATTTCAGGGTTTCTTCAAAACGCCTTATTGTGTAATAATTTTTCGGTGAGGAAATAACAACATCAACATTGATTAGGTGCCATGCCTTTATTAAGCACTGAGTTACTGACTGCTCACGCCTGTTCGGGTTCGGTTCCCTCTGTCCCGAACCGTCCGCCGCGCACAGCGCACGTAGACCGACGAGGGGTCTGGCCGAGACCCGAACAACGTCTATCTTCACAAATACCAAGGTCGCATTCTATTTTATTGAATATTATATTCTTAATTTGTCCCCCCCCCCCACACACAAACACACTGGATAAGTTGAGTGACAATGTCATATTTGTCGGATGGGCTCAGTATGGGCTCAGGCTACATGGGCTCAGCCTGGACGCAAGCCAACATTCTTTGGATGGGCTTAATACCTACCCATCATGTACCCATTCTTATGCAAGTGTGTCAATGCCTTACGTCTTATTGTTCTTTTAAGACGGCTCAAAGGTATGAAAAATAGTGGCTTGTTGCCAGCAATGGAAGCTAATTGTCTGCCTCTTTACCTCAATTATTTCAAAAAAGGTTCGTTACATTCGGCTGTTGACAGCATCCCACCACAAATCAGCTTTTGTGGCGGGCTTCCTCCTTTTCGCCAGTGTAATAAGTATTGATGACCGAATGGAAATGTCAAGGGACGATCTACGCTGCACAGTGTACGCCTACGTGCGCGCCTGAAAACGTTATTATACGCATTCATCATTTTGGTATTCAATTTTGGCATTATGGTATGCAGGCAAATGACTGCGGCACATTAATCCCAAACGACTTAACTGTATTGTTTGCTAATAAGAGGAAATAAGTTGATGGATGACCACCCATGGTAAAGGATCATTGCACAGATGTCGGCATGTGATAATCCTCCGTCTGACATTCGGAAGGTCCCCGGCGTCTGTGCCCCGGTCAAGGTCTGGGCCGCTCGACTGGACGGCGCATGCGCGGCGACCCACTGACCCACTGACACGCCGCCGGCGCACCCCGGTCGGTCACGTGACACTGACACCAACTGATACTGAGTCACTGACACACGAACTTGTTGTGGACACTGGCAAATGAACAAACGCAAGAGTGATTAAGAAGAAAAACAGATGCCACTTGACGAAAGGATGGGCTGATGGTCTGTGTTCGCTCACGCTGACATCAATGATTAAACTATATTTTGAATATTGATTGCGTCAGTGATGGGTGGGTGTTCCAGAAACTACCCTCCAAACTAAAACAATTGGGATGAACCGGTGATGTTCGACTGGATAAAGTGAATGGCTCGCTCTCGTTCCAGGCGTGAGGCGTGAGGCACGTTCGTTCTCCCGACAAGTCATAAAACCAGACATAACAACAGTCATTTTTCGCGGTGTGTATAAAGTCATACGTTCACTCTATCTTTCTCCAGACTCAAGGCATTTCGGAAAAACCTTATATCATCCACACATTAATTCACGTGACTATTGACATTATACTTAAATCCTTAGGTATCATCAAAGGTGCTTAGCACGTAAAGAACATTCGGTGGAATGCCAATAGAAGTTCAAACAGTATCCGTCTTTCCGTTCATACTACATAGCCTTTTGTGCCATTTGTCTATGCTGATAATCATATCTCTCATCTCTGCCTTTATTGCGTATTCTCGTGGCATACAAGTCATTTCAAATTTGCCTACGAAGCGATGTAGGTTCAACATAATGACGTTGCCCGGCGAGTGCATTGTACGGTGAACGGGCATTGAATAGCGATCAGATGTCATGCGCGATGTGCATATTCATGTTAGATTGTTTATTTTGCTCTCCACTGTACCAACTGACTGGATGGTGGATCTTCCCAGTAAACATGCCGACGTCGGCCCGACGTCGGCCGACGTCGGGGTGACGTCGGCAACTCGGCATCGGCATGCCGACGTCGGCCCGACGTCGGTCCAACCTCGGCACGACGTCGGCTGGATGTCGGATATGCCCGCATGTTCCGACGTCCAGCCGAGGTCCAGCCGACGTCTGGCCGACGTCGGACCGAGATCAATTGCTGAGGTCCAGCCGACGTCGGGCCGACGTCGGACTGACATCGGCCGCTGTTTTGACCGTTAAAATAATATAAAATACATGTTTCATGTTTCATAAAGAGTTTCTGTATTCAAAATATCCTCAGGAAACTCAAATCTTCCTCTACGCCGCAACCTCCTGATCCGGACTGGACGGGAAACTTTATCCCATTTGGGATTGCCCGTAAGCCGAGCTCGCCCGTAGCCGGGTGCGGTGAGTGCTTGGGGGCTGCTCGGGCTATCCTTTGGTCAGGCTCAGCCCCGGCAACTCACCAGGGCCGGGCCCAGTTCATATAGTAATAGAAAGGCCAGTCGGCAAGTGTCACTTTGCCAAAGTGCCACTTATCAAAGGGACACTTTGGGAAACGTTGGTGCAGGCGTGTAAGAGTGGCTATATGAATCCATTGTGGGGTCGCCCTTTCCAATAAGTGTCACGTAACAGCAATGGGACCAGGGACTCTATATGAACTGGACCCAGGGTGCTCGCCAAGAACAAGGCCAAGAAGACCAATGTCTCCATCCTATGATCCTTCCGGCTCTGAAATGGTCTTGTCAGACCGAAAGGGCATTAGCCAACAAAACAAACTGAATTCGGTAGCTGGCTGCGTGGTGCAGTGGTTAGCGCACTAGCCTCGCGTTCAAGTGACACGGGGTTCGAATCCCATCGCCGGCTGATCCTTTTGGCGTGTTGTCCCAGTAAACATGCCGACGTCGGCGACTGGGGGGCTCGAATCCCGCCGCCGGTTGATATTTTTGGCGCGTTGTCCCAATAAACATGCCGACGTCGGCCCCGTCGGTCCAACGACAAACGATCTCGTCAACCTCGGCAAACGATCTCGGCCCGACGTCGGCTCGACGTCGGCTGGACTTCGGCTGGACGTCGGAACATGCGGGCATATCCGACGTCCAGCCGATGTCGGGCCGAGGTCGAACCGACGTTGGGCCGACATCGGGCCGAGCCTCGGCCCGACGTTGGGCCGACGTCGGCATGTTTACTGGGTTAGGAGCGTGCTTACACATTTTTTTCGTCGCTTTATACCTATCGCTGAAGTCACAAATTGCGCACCAGCTCGCATCCTGTTTCGTTAGCCCAGCCGCCCGCAGGTATTTTCCGTCTCAAGTTTGACGCAGGACGACTCGTCAGCTCCTTAGGTGAAACCACTGCGCTGAGAGCGGACCTCCAGAACCTCCGGACGCGACACACTCGTACTCCGTGTCACGCGCGGCCCCGCGCGCCGGTAGCTGCGGTTACGTAAGGTCGTCTTAACCGCGCGATCCGGCCCGGCACGTGATAATCGTCTGGTGACGACCTCCCTAATCAGTGTGGGGAGTGACGCGTCGGCTGGTGCAGGATTTACCGGGCCCAGTGCGTGCCACTCGCAGCCAGCAAGGTCGACCTCATCTGTTATCCTGCAAGGACGTGAAGATGCGTGCCGTGGTATTATTAGAGTACGCTCTGGGTGGTATAGCAACTGATAAAATTAATTCCGGTATGACACTTTTTATATTGGTTTCCAGGGAATGCACCTCATAAGTCATAAGAGACTTTAAAAAATACAGCTTGTCCACAACTTTATTTTTGTGTTAAATTTCATGGTGCTCATTTATTGCAACCTAGGAAGTAACTCCGCGGGTGACGTGAATGGCCCTGAGTGGCACCAATTAGAGTTTGTTGTATAGCGTCATAAAAGGTGGCTTAACGCCGTTGACCTGCCAGGAAATATGTATCTGTAAGACGTTTCAGTGTGATTGATTACTGCGCCGTTTCAGCTCCCATTTCATTGTTCAGAGAGATTTCCTTGGGTTTTATGGAGCTCTTGAGAATTTTGTCACTTAGTGCGTACTGTTATATTGACGCGTGGGCTAACTTTGGCTTTTATGTAATTGACAGATCCTGGCTTAGTTCATTACGCAATACCTATTTCCTCAAAGCGTCGTCACTGTCAGGCAAATGTCTGACCCTGAAATTTTACGTCATCCTAAAAATGTTCCTGCAAGCTTAACCACTATAGGTAGATGCGTTAGTATAAAAAAAAAAACAGGTTAGTACAAGAGGTAGGCGGATGCCAATTGTCAAACTTTATGCACATTGGCCGTATCCGTCGGTATAATTCTATTTCATTCAAGGCAATTATGACAAAAACGACTTTTTCTGTTTTAACTGGAAAAACAATTAGAGATGCAATGCAATCATGTCCCCAAATCGGATTCTGCACCATTGCACTT